GGGGGGGGGTTTGACACTCACGCTCATGCTCTGACACAGCCCCTGCGAGAGTTTTTTTTCTCGAGTTTTTCCTGTCGAAATCCAGCGGAGGAGCGGCGGCCTCGACTGTCCATCTGCGCGTCGTCTGCGCACGCTCAAGCTTCGCATGCAAGTCGAAGCTCTGCGCTCGGCCAGCCAAATGCACTGTTTCTTGAGCGTCATGCACCTCGTCCGCCTCGCCGTTCCCGTGCGGTGCCTTACCAAAAACTAAAAAAAGGGTCGGCCATTTGGGGGTGGCCATCGTGCCCGTCCGCTGTCATCGACGGATCGGCCTGAGCCCTGGAGCCCTGGAGCCCTGGAGCCTTGAGGCCCTGCAGCTCCCCGGACTTTGCACGACCGAGCGCACTTTCCTTCCGTTGGACCGCCCGCGCGTCCGTTGGCTGTTGGCCGCCTGGAGAGTATGCTGCTCGGCTTTGCAATCTCAGCCGGCCGCTCGGCCATCCTCGTTCTCGTTCTCGTTCTCGTTCTCGTCCACCACCCTTCGCCCCTAATCACTCGCTCGTCCTTGCCACAACACATCCTCGGCCCTTCTGATTCCCTTTCCACCATCTCCGGCCACTCGCTCTCCTGCTCCCTGATATACCGTTGGCGACGTCGCAAACACGCATCCGCACCCTTTCCCCCTTTCCTCCTCCTCCTTTGGATCCCGGATCGCTCCCTCCTAGCTTCGTCCTTGGCATCCCACACGACGCTCGCTTCTATCAACCAGCTTCCAACACCTCGATCCTCCATCCATCCTCCTCGACGGATACCTCTTCGGACCATCAAACCCGGCGCTGCTCTCGGCAGGCTGATATCCAGCCAATATGCGCTCATCCACATCGGCGCTAGTCGCCACCCTCGCCTCCTCACTCTGGCTCGCACGCTCCGCCCTCGCCGACGTCAACCTCTCCCCGGCTCTCAACGCTTCCAACGCAGGCACCCTCTCCGTCACAATCAGCCCCTCCTACGTCGGCTTCGGTATCGAACCCTCTGACCTCATCGTCTACACCGGTTCCACCTCCCCCAACCAGCTCACCTACAACCTCCTCTCCAATCTCGCAAACTACACCGGCGCACCCCCCCACATCCGCCTCGGCGGCAATGCAGGCGACACCATGCTCTACGACGACTCGGTCACAGGCACCGCCCTCCAGCAAAACGCAAACCCAACCGGCTCCGGCAACGCGAGGCCCTCGGACTACTACACCTTTGGCCCCGACTTTTTAAAAGCACTCAACAACTTCCCGGACGGAACGCCCATCACCTACGGTCTCAACCTCGCCTACACCGGCGCAGACGCCCTCAACCGCGTCGTCGCACAGGCTCAGGCCGCTTTCGAGTACGTCGGCACCAACCCAAACGGCGCAAAGATCGTCGGCCTCGAAATCGGCAACGAGCCAGACCTCTACATCGACCTCGGCTACCGCCCCCAAAACTGGTCCGTATACGACTTTGGTAACGAGTGGTCCAGCCGCGCAGAAGCCGTCTACAAGCAGGTGCTCAAGCCAAGGGGCATCAACTCCAACTACTTTGAGGTAGCCACCACCGCAACCACCGCCACCAAAAACGGTCAGCCCTTCCGCATCTCCAACCTCGTCAACACTGGCGTCGCCGCCGACAACGGCATCTACGTCGCAGGCTGGAACCAGCACGACTACTACTACTACGTCAACGTCTCCAACTACCAGCTCACCCTCCCCATCCTCCTCGACCTCTCCACCACCGTCAGCCAGTTCCGCGAGTGGACCGGTCAGGTCCAGCAGGCCCTCGTCACCGGCAAGCCCTACTACCTCCGCGAGATGGGCAGTGTCGGCCCCAACGGTCTCCAGGGCATCAGCGAGACCTTTGCAAACGCTCTCTGGACCTTCAACTTCTTTTTCTTCGCTGCCAGCATCCAGATCAGCGCCGTACAGATGCACATGACCCAGTACTCGATCGCGGCCCCGTGGCAGACCAACTACATGAACGGTCAGGGCCCTCACGTACGTCCCACCTACTACGCCTGGGCCGCCTGGTCCCAGATCATCGGCGCCACCTGCAACACCAGGATCGCACAGGTCTCGCTCAGCAACCAGCCCGGCGCCTACACCAACCGCCTCAACGCCTTTGCCGTCTACCGAGGCAACGCGCTCGGCTCCGTCGTCATGATCAACACCCAGCCCTACTACTCGTACAGCGGCAACCCCTCCTACCAGAACTTTGTCCTCAGCCTCCCCGGCCTCGCCGGCCGAACCGTCTGGCTCTCGGTGCTCTCGGCCGACGGCGTCGAGTCCACCTCCAACGTCGTTTGGAACGGCATCAGCTACGAGCAGTCCGGCAACGGTCAGCCCCGCACCGTCAACGGAACCCAGTGGACCATGACCGTCGGCTCCGACGGTACGCTCACCGTCCCCGTCCGTGACAGCCAGGTCGTCGTCGCCAGCACCTTCCGCCTCGGCCGCGAGTCGGTCAACACCGCCAACTGTGAGAACCTCGCCAGCGCCGCCCCCGGCACCACCGGCACCGCCACCGGCTCGGGCAACGCAGCTCCCACCTTCAAGTCCACCAGCGGCTTCAAGTCGGACAAGCCGCTCAGCATGACCGCCATCATCGCCATCGCTGCCGGCGGCGGCGTCTTCCTCATCGTACTCCTCGGCCTCTTCATCTGGTGTTGCGTCCGCTCCTGCAAGAAGTCCAACGCTCGCAAGGCTCGTGCATCGGCCATGCTCAAGGCTCCCCCGCGTCACGACGACCATCCGCTCCTCGAGAGGGACTTTGCCGACGAGAGCCACGCATCCTACCCGGCTTACCAGAACTCGCCCGGCCTCCGCGGCTGGGAGAGCCCCATGACCTCGGTCAGTCACGGACAGCAGGTGCATCCCTCCCAGTCCTACCACAACATGCAGCCCGAGTACGACTATGCGCCTGCGGGCTACCATCACTCGCCCCAGCAGCCCCACGCCATGCACTCGCCCACACCGCAACAGACACAGCAGTACTACCAGCAGCACCCAGCCTACCTGCAGAGCCCGTACCAAAACTACGCTCACCAATTTGGTCACGGACAGCACGGCAACGGCCACGGCCGCGCCTACTGAACGCGCTTGCACGCCCTACCACCCATAGAGCCCTTGGACACATCCATGTCTCCTGTCCATCCTGCCCATTAGATCGTTCTTTCGCCCCCTTTCCACGGACAATTTCTCGCTCTCCTTCCCCGGAATTGCCACTGGCAAACCTTGGCTTGTCTCTCTTGGATCATCGCATCTCGAATACCCCCTTTGGCACTCCCAAGACGGAGTCTCAAGCACACGCTCCTTTCGTCAGCACGTCGAACCACCTCCTTCAATTCCTGCCCACTCTTGTCGGTCTTGCTGGTCCCGCTTTCACGCACGCGCTCTGTCATTGTCATTGTATCGCACTTTGTCTGTTTGCCCACGTCATTTTTTTCTTCTTTCGTCTCCGTCATCGTCTTCTTGTAGAATACACTCTGCCTCCTTCGTCCGCTCGCTCTTGCGTCTTCAAGTCGTTCGTTCAGAGCGCCCACCTTCATCGTCAATGCCACTGCATTCCTGCCATCTTTGTAGCCTTGGACTGTCCTTTCTGAGTTCCATCGCTTCCGCTCCTCCTTGCACGAGTCGACATTCAAGGCCGCCGGACGCATGCGGCAGATTGGGTTTGCGGTTCTTCCTCGGAAACAGACGTTGGAGTGCCAATTCTGGCAAGGAAGAGCAAATCATGCGCGGAGATGACGCACCGTCAGATGACACGGTGCACCGACGTTGCCCCTGAGTGACGAGTCCGCGCGCTCCCTGACCCTGGTTGGCTGGCTCGCAGCAGGCATACGCTGGGCGAGCTGGACCGGCGAGGATTCACTTTGGCATCTCTCCGCCATTCCCGCACGAATGAGGTCTGTTCAGGAGTCAGCCACAGACGCAAGCTCGCGCATTCTTGCCATTCGTTCCAGTCGGAGCGAGGCGAGCTGGGCCGAGGCAAGAGAGAGAAAATGAGGCGCTCAGATGCCAAGGGTGAAGGCGCAGCGCAAGGCAATGGCATCCAGCCTGTGTTCACAGGCAAACACGGTCAATGCACAGACGTCGGCGAATGGATGGTGTAACAAGTCCCAGGTATATTTGCGCTCCAGTGAAACAGGGACGCAGGTCATTCGACGTCTAATCTAAATGCAAAGTCGTGAAAGGTGTTGAGGGATTACCAAGCGATCTTGGCAATGACGCTGTTGGGGAAGGTCCTGACGAGGAGCTTGCGCAGTTCGTCCATGCCCAGCAGGCCGATGGCGAGCGGGATGGGGATGAACCAGTGCTCGATGGGGATGGAAGCGGTGCCAAAGAGGTTTTGGATGCCCTTGACCTCGGTGACAAAGATGGCGATGACCAGCGCGCCGAGTGCGCCCACGAGGAGCCACGGGTTGCGACGCTCCTTGCGGATCGGGTCGGCCTGGAAGATGGACAGACGCTTGTTGCGCACCGAGAGCAGGTTACCCCACTGCAGAATGACGAGCGTGACAAAGTAGACACACTGGCCGGTGTTGAGGAAGCGGTTGAGCTCGTCGAGCGTGTAGCCGTGGAAGCCATCTCCGAACTTCTCGAAGGCAAAGAAAAGGTCGCGGATCGGGATCTTGGCGTACCTCCACATGTAGAGGAAGAACATCGAGTGCGCAGTGACGGTCTCCATCATGCCGATGAAGAGGTAGCTCTGTCCATAGATCGCCTTGTTGATCAGGTGGTCCGTCTTGGTGTTCCTGGGCTCGAGCGAGAGCAGGTCGAACTCCTCCTTTTCAAAGATGAGCGTGAGGCAGCAGACCAGGTCGGTGAAGCAGCAGATGATGATCATGAGGAACGAGCTGAGCGGCAGCGGCACGCCGAAGAAGACGTTGAGCACGACGGGCCAGTCCTCGGACCACGAGCCGGCGGGCAGCAGGTACGAGATGACCTTTTGCAGGTTCTGGAACACGAGTCGTCCGAGACGGATGCCCTGGACGATGGAGCCAAAGTCGCCCATGAGGACGAGATCGGCGGCCTCCATGGCGACGTCCGAGCCCGAAACCATGGCGATACCGACATCGGCGGCCTTGAGCGCAGGAGCGTCGTTGACACCGTCGCCCGTCACGGCGACGACGCATCCACGGTCGCGCAGCTCGTTGACGATTCGCAGCTTCTGCTCGGGCGTGGTGCGTGCAAAGACGATCTCCTCGTATCGGCAGACGACGTCCCACTGCTGCTGGGTGATCTCGGGGATCTCCTTGCCCTCGACGAGCAGGCCGGCGTCGATGATGTCCTTGGGTCCATTGAGCCTCTTGAGCTCCTTCTCGCTGAGCTCGGGACCATCGGTGGCGAAGCGGTTCTTGAAGTCAAAGTCGGCGATGCGGTCGGGCTCTCCGTTGTGGGTAAAGATGCCGACCATCTTGCCGATGGCGGCAGCCGTGAGCGAAAAGTCACCAGTGACCATGAAGAAGCGCGATCCGGACCTACGGCACTCGGAGACGGTGTGAGGGATGTCGGCGCGGGGAGGGTCCATGATACCGAGCAGACCGATGACGACGAGGTCAGATTCGCTGGCCGTCGCGACTTCCTCCTCGTACTCGCTGGTGCCGGGCTTGGCGTAGGCGTGGAACTGGCGCATGGCGAGCAGGATGACACGCTCGCCTCGACGCGACCACGTTTCCTGCCTGCTCACGAGCTGGGATCGTGCAGCGTCGTCGAAGACCTTGGTCTCGCCATCGATGGCTGAGTAGTAGTGCGAGATGCGGGGCATGAGAACGTCGGGAGCGCCCTTGACGTACATGTCGTCGGCCGAGGTCGCGGCGGCATTGTCGGCGTTGGAGCGCATGACGGTGAGCATGAACTTGTTCTTCGAGTTGAAGGGGATGTCGTAAACGCGGCGGTAGGCAGCCTTGATGTCGTCCGAGCCGGGGAGCGAAGCGGACAGACGAAGCACGGCACCGTCGGTGGCGTTGCCCTGGATGGTGCGCTCGGCGATGGGGAGGTTGTCGGTGGCCGGGTCAAAGAAGGCGTCGTTGCAAAGTGCCATGCCGTGCTTGAGGTGGTCGAAAGCAACCGTCTGCTCTACGCTGGCGATGTCGTCACGGGTCGTCTCCTGGTCAACGAAGCCGATGGAGGCGACGGACATCTTGTTCTCGGTGAGCGTGCCGGTCTTGTCAGAGCAGATGACGTTGACGCATCCAAGGGTCTCGACGGTGGCAAGCGACTTTGGGAGCACCTTGACGTCGCGCATGCGGCGGGCGATGAGCGAGAGCGTGAGCGCGACGGCGATGGGCATGCCCTCGGGGATGAAGGCGACGACGAGGCTCATGAGGTTGGTGAGGATGCCGACGACGCTGAGGAAAGCGGGGTGGTCACGTCGGAGCCAAGCGAGCCAGGTGATGAGCATGATGAGTACGAGCGTGACGGTGAGGCCGATGATGATGAAGACGAAGCGCGAGATCTCCTTCTGGAGCTGGGTGGGCTTGTCCTTGTCGTCGTTGGTGAGCTTGTTGATGCGGCCCATGACGGTGCGCTGACCGGTGAGCACGACGATGCCGACGGCGTTGCCGTTGCAGACGTGGGTGCCGAGGAGCGCGATGTTCTTGGACTCGAGGAAGTTGGAGTCGGTCGACTCGACGGTGCCCGAGATCTCCTCGGATTCGCCGGTGAGGACGGAGCGGTCGAACTTGAGATCGGCGGAGGCCTTGATGATGCGCATGTCGGCCGGCACCTTGTTACCGGTGGAGAGGACGACGACGTCGCCGACGACGAGTTCGGAAGCGGGAAGCGAGCGGTGCTCGCCATCGCGGATCACGACTGCGTTTTCGGGGAGGAGGTTGAGGATGGAGTTCATGACCTTCTGGGTGGAGTAGTCCTGGAAGGCGTTGAAGAGGGCCTGGAAGAAGATGACGATGAGCACGACGATGGCGAGGGCGAGGTTGTAAGGCTGAGGAGGGTTGCCGAGCGGCTTCCAGGAGATGAAGAAGATGATGACACCGATCCACAGGATGGAGCAGAAGCCTCCAAAGGTGTAGTTGAGGAGCTTGAGCCAGTACTTGTTCTTCTTCTGAACGAGCACGTTCTTGCCGTTGCGCTCGAGGCGACGAGTAGCGGCCTGGCCGTCAAGACCGGCGCTGGTGGACACGTTGAACTTCTGCGCAAGGGCTTCTGGCTCGACGGTGTGGAAATCGAGAGAGCCGAAGAACTCGGTGTCGGAGAGGTTGGCTTTGCCGCCCTTTGCCGAGTCGATACCCTGGGATTCGTACACCTGGATACTCAAGGTGCGGAAACCGATGGGGATGTGGGAGCGCGTGGTCTGGGTAGTCTGTGTGCGAGGCACCTTGATGCTGACGCGAGGCGCAGCGGGGCCGGCGATGGCGACCTGGTTGGTGGACTCATTGGTGGGGGAGTGGTTCTTCTCGATGTCATAGTCCGAGACGGACTTGGTGTCGGCGGACGACATGATGGGGGCTTGGAGAGACTGTTGATCTCGAGGCAGCCGACAAGAAAGGAGGGCCAAGGCCGGGTGGGGGCGTGAAGGGACGTAAACGGATGAAAGGGTAGCGGAACGGAAAGACGGAAGGAAGGACACGGCGTTGAGCTCTTTATAGTGTTTGCCTCTCACCGAGAAGGAAGGAGCGAGCCAATTTTGGAAGGGCGCCAAGCTGAGCTGGTGGCGAAAGGATAGCAGGAGACAGGGGGTGGTTCGTGGGTGCAAAAGTGACGAGGCAGGGCGAGATGCACAAGTTGCCAAAAGAAGACGGTGGGATGCAGGGCGTGGCCGAGGGCTGAGGGGATTTTGCTAGCGGATGGCCACGTTTGATGAGCGGTGGGCTGAACCAGCTCGACGGAAGGATCTCAGGAAGATAGCTACAGCCGCGGCGTTGATTTGCGATATGGATCAGGAACGGCGACACAGTCTGCCTCTGAAGCCGGCTCAGGCGGAGAGCTCAAAATGAACAGCTTTGCTCATTCACGGGCTCAGGCTGCGGAAACATGCTTGGGCCAGAGATACGCCCAGGAGCTCTAGCCCAACGGGAAGTTGATGCAATGAAAGCGTTGATTTGGCTGCGGAGGGGCAAGGGTGATGACGCTGAAGGGGGGTCCGGCGGCAGCGGCGGAGTGAAACGTCGATCCTGCGGCGACTGGAGACGAAGGGGCGAGGGGGAATGGTAAGGGCAGGGTCCAGGGTTGATTGTGTGAGAGAGAGGCGATTGGGTGGGCGCGGTGAGGGGGAGGAAGGGCAAGAGCAAGGGCTGAGGGTGTGGACAATGAAGGGTAGAAGGTGGGGGCTTGAGGGGCGTGGGTGTAGGAGCGAGGACGAATGGCGATGCGCGAAATTGGAGGCCGAGGGCGGAGAGGAGTGGACCGACGTGGCGAATGCAGAGCTTGACAGCTGACAAGAAGCCGGAACGAGGCGATACTAAAACCAAGGTGGAAGCGAACCAATGGACAGAGTGGCAGTGAGGATGTGCGAGTTGCGCATGAGGGGCGAGCGAGGGATTAGGGTTGCTGCTGTGCGCAGCCTGACGATGCGGCTGGATATGGCGACTCGGCGAGGAGGTGCGAGGGCTTTTGCGTAGTAGCCGACCTGAGCGAGCCCTGAACCCACCGACAGCGGATTGAGCCCTGAACCCACCCATTGCGCCCAAAAGGGTTCAGGGTTGGGTCGCGTCTCAATCTGGCTCGATGTATCCCGATGGAGAATCAGTCCTGATGCCGATGCCACAAGCAATTGTTTTTCTTTTCAATCTTACATCTGTATCTCGCTTTTTTCTCGTGCGGTCTCAGTGGAAATTGTTTTGGGCGAGCCTGGATGCTGCGCCCTTTACAATGCAGCGAATCGAGCAGAATCGTTCTGACCGGCGACTTGCGGCTCTCGAATGCGTGATGCAATCGAACGGAGAAGGTGGGGCAGTGTGGCGGTGTGACGAGCATCCCAGGTTGGATCGGAAGCGCGGAATTCGACGCCCGCCAATCAAGGTTGCTCGGCGCTGGCAAGCTGCACACTGGAAGGCGGCATTGTTTGCATCACAATGGTGGATGGCATTCATGCACAAGGGCGGTGCAGCTGCTGGACTCGGACCGAACGAGAATGCCGTACAGTATCGGAGCTGGGATTTCCGAACCCCCAGGCAAAGAGGAGAGACGATGGGCAAGTCGGAGAATCGTCACAGCTGTTTCGGCTAGACACAGAGAGAGAGAGAGAAAGAGGGGGGGCGCTTCGCTCCGAGAACTTGGTGATGTCGGCGCACGTGTGAAATGGGATCGCAGCAAAAGCGCCGGCTCGAACCGCCGCTTCGGACGCACGCGAGCGATTCGACGTGTGCCTCGCTTGGGCCGCTTTACTCACCCTCCGAGGACGCATGGATCGGGCGAAATCTGGTCTTGCTTGGTCACACTCCCCTCGCGTGTCGGTGCAAAGTCAGCTGCCTGAAGGGTTCGTTCGCACATGCTCAGCCGCTCGCCCCGAAAGGCCCAATCGAATGCGTGCAATTTCAAATTTATTCACGCTGATTTTTGGGCAGCAGGTCTAATTCGGGAGCAGCGGGCGGTTGTCACACCGGTCTCATGCGCCTGCAAGTGTTTGGCGCATGAGCACAGTTGGCGCGTGGCATTTTGGCGGGGGATTGACAGCGAGACCACGCGCGGCCAGCAAGGAAGAGAGAGCGAGGAAGAGCTGAGATTCATTTTGACCGAGCCAGCCGCCTTTGGTCCCGTGTCGGGTGTACGACAGAAGGGCAGGGGCAGCAGGGGGCGCGCGGAGAGGGGCTGTCTTGGAATGCTGCACCGCCTCACGCCCCGCGTCAACCTTGACTACGAATGAATTGGTTTGGTTGCAGGGCACAAGAGTGTGACAACCGCGCTAACTTGGTTGCAGACACGTGTGTGTGTG